GGGGATTCCACTCCAACCTTTGATCCATGATTTCTAGCCCCCTCAAGTTGCTTTCCACTCCAATCCTTCTCCTACAACCATGCCAAATCCGCCAGAGAGTTATTGAGTGTTGAGAAGACTATCTTTTAAAGCACAAGAGCAAGGAGTTCATTATCAACAATATCTATTACCTTTTGGAGAGCGGTGTCTCCTAGACTGGTTGTGTGTCACTTGGGAGCCTCCAAATCTTGTGGAGTTGAACCAAAAAGTTTGTAAGGGCAAGGAGATTCCCTACTTCATGAAGATCTGCCCCGAGTGAGACTAGTCCTTCGTGGACGAAAGCCATGTTGACATAGACAAGGTTACTTCTTAGTGGACCCTTTGTGGGTGGAGCCCTCCGTGGACTCGCGCACCCGTTATCCTCCGTTTGTTGAAGTCTCCATCAAGGTGGATGTACGATAGCACCACCTATCGAAATCACACCAAAAATCATCGTGTCTTCATTGCGTTTGATCTTCCGATCTTTACCTCCCTTTACTTTCTTGCATTTGCATGTTGTCCTTTATCTGCTACCTATACTCTAGATATGCATGTGTAGAAAGTATTGGTTGTCATTTAACTTGTGCTAAAATCCGCCTAAATTCCATGAAACTTAAAGTTGCTACTTTGCCTAAGTGTCTATTCACCCCCCTATAGACTTATCTTCTCGGTCCCTCAACAATGTGTGTGTTGAGCAAAGGGAGGGGCTCCTTGTCGCAGCGGCTAGGGTCCCCCCCCCCCCGATGCCCACGGGGGCGTTGTGGGGCCGGGAGACTCGAGTTGATTTTCTTCTTATCCCTTACGGTGGGCATTGCTCCCCAATTATTAGTGTTATTAATTGATATGGACATGTTGTCTTTGCTTGTACCCTTTGGCTCGGGTGTGCACCCAGCTGCCCTAGGGTTTCTTGTGCCTCCAGTCGGCGGCGCTGTCGATCTACCTTGTCTACTGTGGTCTTAGGGTCATGGCGGCGCAGTGGATCCCGACTCTTGTCGGGGGGAGGGCTCAGTTTTTAAAGTTCTTTTGAGTTTCATTAGGGTTTGTTTCATGTTTGGAGAGACGAGGCAGCGGCGGCTCTTTGAAGATGGAATAAGATTCACCCCGCCTATAGCCCCCGTCCCGATGGTGTTCTAGTATCATTGGAGGGCGCGTGGAGGTTTGTCTCCGGCGTATCTCGCGGGATTCGCTCGGAGTATGTCTTCGGTGGATCCAGTGGATCCGGTCTTCGTTTGTCTGTGTTGGTGTGTCTACAAGTTGGATCATTCTGATCTACGCTTCTCTTCGTCAGCGGTGGTTGCTATTCTGGTGCGTTGGTCCTATGAGGCCGTAGCATGACGACCTCCTTACTGTTTACTAGAACAAGGTATACCCGACTCCGATGAGGGAGTGATGATGACGGCGGCACACCTTCGGCTCGCTCCAGTGCTAATAGTCCTTGGTAGATGGTCTACGGATCTGGATGTATTTTTTTTACTTTGAGTGTTCTTTATACTACCTTGACAGTTGTCGAATTGATTGGAAGTTTTCTCCGCAAAAATAATAATTGATATGGACATGTTGCTTTCATCTTATCTACCTATATTATATGTCTACTATGCATCGAACTATTTTTCGTTTGATCATCTTGTTTATTATTTTTCTTCATGATTTATTTACCAGTAGAAGATTGCTCAAATATTCAACACTTACCAGTGTTGTCCCTGTTTTTTTGTCTGCGATCCATATTCAGACAAAACTGGGCAGCATTAATTCTGATAGAAAAAATGACCGAACTCCTACCGGGACAAAATTGGCAGTGTTCTTGGTGACTGCAGTTAATCATGGAAGGCGTGGAGCTTCTGGACGGTCAGCCTCGCAGCGAGAGTACCCCTGCCCGTCGGCTCGCCATCGTTTCGCTGGAGGAGACGAGAGAGGCAGGACCGGTGCCTCTGCCATCTTTTTCACAAGCCTCCACATGGCCTGTCCAAGTCAATCCATGATTGATCCCGCAGCGCATGACTAACAATCACACATACACACAAACACAAAGCCCTGAGTAAGCACTCACGTTACTATTCCTACCACCACTAGCTACTCCTACTAGTCACAAGCCAGTGAGTGATACCACCGTCATCTCATCTCATGTCCTTTGCAGAAAATAATTGAGGGAGAGCAGAGAAGGAAGGCCCCAAGGGCGCCATAGGTCGGCACTGGGCAGACAGACATGCCCGCGGGCCGCGAATGGGGCTTGGAATCTTGCTCCCCAGCGTCAAGCGTCACATGGATTAGACAACATGCTTAGCAGCGGCAGTACCAGTACTACTCCCACTACAGTATGCTTTGCCTTTTGCACTGCCGCACACTGTGTTGTGCGTTGCGTTGCATGGATCTTGGTGAGATCCGGGAAGATGCATGTGTGTTCTGTGCATGCAGAGCTGAGATGAGATGGATCGGTGTCCGGTTCTTTCTTTCTATCAAATCCATCAATTTTTATCAGTCTCGCTCGCCAGCCCCAAGGTCGCCTGCCCAGCGCTGCTCCGCTGTTGCCCCGCTCCTAGGCCGTCGCGCCACGCCGCTCGCGCCTTCTTTATTGCGAGGTCAAAAGACAGGCGCATCCCATGTCCTTTTGCGCGCGCCAAGGTCCACGATCACGATGCATGCCCATTTTAATACCAAGGTCCTGCACGTTAATCTGCTCCTGAACTCGTACACTCAGTATTAAGCCACTAGCTTTTTACTAGCAGTATAGGAGTATAAGAAAACATTCATGGTGAGAAGTCAGAGCTTCACTCAGCAACTACACCCAACCTGCAGCTACCGGAAAATATTTTACGAGAGGGAGGGGAGAAAACATGTCGGAAGCGAAGGTCTTGACTCAGAAAACCATACTGGCGTCCTTTGAGAAAACAGACGATATCACAATTACCAACACCAGAAGCATGTCTGAGACTGTCTGCATTGCTTTAAAGCGGCCAGCCAAAGCACCAAAGCTAGCTAGGTAAACGTTGCCATGCATGCATGCAAACTCAGCGAGTGACCGCTACCCCTCCATTTCAAAATATAGTGTGTCCGCGTTTCCTCAGGTCAAACTTTGACCATAAATTTAACGAACGAGACCGATTGCGGCGGGAGAAAAAGTTACATTATTAAAAACTTCTTTCGAATACGAATTCACTGATATTACTTTTGCTTCCGCCGCAATCGGTCTTGATAGTTAAATTTACGGTCAAAGTTGAAACACGAGAATAGAGGAAGCATTACATTGTGGAACGAAGGGAGTACATTACGGAACAGAAGCACATCTCGCACGCAGCGGCCGGGAATCGTGCGTGGGTTCGTGCGTCCCCGTGCCAGTCAGTGCTACTACGTGCGCCTGGCCTGGAACAATCCTTTTTTTTTTTGTGGAGGAACCGGCAGGAGCACTGCCTTTTCATATAAGAGGAACAATCCTTTTACGCTGTGAAGGCTGTGACGAAGAAGCGTGAAGAGCGAAGGCCCAGAGGAGAGAGGCCAGAGGGAAGGCGACGCGGGAAGAGATCAAAAGAGAAAGGCTAAGGGAGAAAAGCCAAGCGAGAGGAAGAAGCGAAAGAAAGAAAGTGAAAGTGTCTGGAAAAGACTGTTAAAAAAAGTGGGAAAAGCTCAGAAACAAAAGCGGCAAGGCGAAACCAGATATTCCTGTATATGCTACGCACGACCGAACCTGATAAAGAAATTTCAGCAAAGGGAAAAAAAGGGGAGAAAGATTGAGATAAAGAGCAAAAGGAACGAAAGGGACGAGAACTCCGAGCTTCCAGCCATCTTTTCGCCGGAAAGATGGCCGGGTTACGGGATGAATTTAACGAGATTCGTCAGGATCCAGGGACGCTACGCCTACGTTGTGTACGTAGAGTGCGTACGTGGGCGCTCGGGCTTTGGATTCGGACGCTTTCCTTTTGGTTTGGGTCCGTCGTAGTGGAACTTGATAGATACTCCTACTACCACTACGTTGACACTTTCTTCCTCGAAGAAAGAAAAGTTACTACTACTACTACGTTGACACAGCGCGATGTGAAAAAGTGGCGGGACACACACACGGTATGGGAGGACGAACGCATTGGATTCGACGGCGGCGAAGAGGGAGGGGGCCGCCCGCCCTCTTTTCCTCTCATCTGCTTGCCGGAAAAGAAAACCCCACGAAATATTGTCCGGGAAAAACGTCGTACGTACTATCATCAGGTGCAGCCGTGCCTCGCCGTGGTACAGTACAGCACAGCCTCACCGTCCCTACCAGTACTACGACTATCACAACGTCCACTGTTCACGTCCCTGGTGAACCGTAGCAAGTAGACCCATCCACAGTCACAGTGGAAGCAACGTGCTACTGTAATTTCTACCTCAACAACACTGCACTCTTTCCATTCTCCAGCAGCGAGCTCTGGCCGTGCGGCCGAAAAGCTCCTGTAAACGTTCGGCGCTGGCCCTGGCCGGGCCAGCCGGGGAAACAAGACAAGCACAGGTCGCCTCACCAACCAACCTGGCTACGGACCCGGGGCCAGGAGGCACGTACAGGCACAGGGGCTTAAATGCAGCGCCAGATGGTAAATGCGTCGACGTCTCGGCCCATGGGGAGCCTACCGACGGACGAAAGAAGCGATGCACTGGCAGCCGCACTTTCGCGGCGTATGTTGGGCAGCGAGATGCATCAGATCGGATGCGTGCCTGTACCGAATAATTGCTCCCGACGGACGGTACCGTGGGGGTTTGGCCGTTTATGAGAAATTTCACTCGAGTTCATGAGAAGCGGTTTAGTTTCCAGATGTACGAGTTCAAGAAAAGACGATGCAGCCAACAGGATTTTTAATGACCTCTACTTGAAACGACGATTCTGCAAGCCACCTTTCCCTGAACAACATTGCTCAAGACATTTCGCTTCTCTGTGTACCGCTGCACTGGTACTGGCTATGGACCCTGAACAACTGCTGTTTCTACGCCAGCATCATCTACAGGGCACTAGATTCAGAAGCTCATCTTCCCTCCTTCGCGAGAGGCTTCACCTTGCGCCGATGGCCGAAGCTGTTGACCAGATCCTTGCGGGCGCACACCGGGAACAGGTGGACGCCGGGGAGCCTGAGGCGCCGCAGCACGTAGGGAAAGCTCAGCTGATCCCGGGACGTGAACCTCACCACCTCGTTGAACCAGAGGCACATGAAGAGGTTCGTCGAGGGGGCGTGATCCCTCACAATGGCCGAAGCTTCTGCCAGAGCTGTAAATAAAAAAGGCAAACGAATGAATGAGAACCACACTTATTATCCGGGTTCAGAGGGCCGGACCACTGGCAGCAAAGGCCTCAAGGACGACGAACATGTATGATTTGGGGCGAAACATTGTGTTTACTACTGCTTGGAGCGTGCTTCTGGTTCTTCTACGTAGCCCACATGTGGGCTAAAAATGGCGTGTCCTGTATCACTTGGATGAGGTGCAGAAAGCCGGAAAGGAGCCATAGCTTTTATGCTCAACGCATGCAACTGGCCAGCCTTTATAGCTCATGCCTTTTGCACAATCACAGCTGCGCAGGTAGTAACACCAAGCATGGTTATCTAGAGTACTACGACATGATGTATTTTTATTTCTTTCACTACGTGTCTGGCCCAGCACCCTAAGGCCCATGCCCTGCTCTGCAAATACGACATTGATGTCTGCTCTCGTTTAAGCTCATCCTGCTGACTTTTCCTATGAGGTGAATGAATGGCCAGGGCCAGCCATCTATGTTGCACACTACGCGGGGCATAACGTGAGAGCCAGCCAGCCAGGTAGTAGTGATATTGATGTGCAATCTAGAGAAACAAAACTATGCAAGGCATGATAAGAACGGTGAAAGCGAACAATGGCAAGCAAGTCAGGATTACAAGCTAACCTTTCTTCCTGTTGAATCGTTTGTCATCTGGAATGCCATCTTGTCGGTACTGATCCAACTGTATTTTAACTTCTTCTGGGGTTGCTTTGTGTTTCCTAACAATCGCGTTACCCTCGTCATACAAGCTGCTCCGAGCTCCATGTTCCGATAATGCCAAGGAAGAGTTTGAGCGCCACAGAAGGGCCTCAATGACTCCTAGTGGATCTCTCCGGAACTGGGATTTCGAATCCACCCAAATCGAGTATCTTGCCATAGGAAAAAGGCGATGGCTTATCAGCTGAAGACAATAGAACAGCAAAATGGAAGTCAGCTTCTGACGGAAAGGATTCACCCTACACAGGCATCATATGCACTGATCATAGAATGTACTCCCTCTGTAAAAACGATCTTATATTAGTTTACAGAGGGAGTATGTAATATCTGTTCTTGAAAAAATAGAATGTAATATCTGCAAGACAATCTCCTCCTAGCTCTGTTGTCCATAGAGTACAACAAGATGAATACTGGAAACACAATGTTGAGGCTTCTACTAACACTTTTTATCTCATCAAGACAATGAAGGCACAGGGTTTTCAGATGGTACCTTGGGAATTTTGCCATTCAGCCGTTGATCTGTGAAAGGAAGGTCTCTCACAAGAATGATCCTCCAAAGGCCAATCCTGAGATCTTCACCAATCTTCTTACCTTCCTCATGTTGAGCTGAGAGAGTGACTTCATCCCAGAATGCAACATAGCATACCTAGCAAAACAACAAGTATCAGCAGATAGGCAGGAAAGAAGCTCAAGACATCAACACACAATGCAAGATAAATACTAAACCTTTTTGACAGATACTTCTGTCATCCCTATAGGCTGGTGAAGGTCATCCCCTCCACCAAACGCACAAGTGGCCACAACAACTCTGCAAGATCTCATGTAATCTTTATCTACATCAGAAACTCTGAACCCTCCATTTTCACTGTAGAAGCCACAGTGAACCGCTGTAGTTTCCTTTGGCTGCAGCATTAGTAGAATTAAAAAAAGCGAGGATGGCAGCTAACACAGAATTTTCCGCAGTTTAGCATTTTGATTTTTGACAATGTTTATCATGTACTCCCTCTGTCCCATAATGTAAGACGTCTTTTGACTCTAGTGTAGTGTCAAAAAACGTCTTACATTATGGGACGGAGGGAGTAGTATCTACTATCTGCACATATGGTATTCTTATACACATACTAAACAGGAACACACATATTTCATAGAGGCAACTCCAATATCTTACATAATTTTCAAAAACTTCATGAAATATAGAGCCTGAACAAAACCTTGAAACTCTCTTCTCTTTCAGTAAGGGTCTGATATCCCGTGAATGAATTAAATCGCGAATTCGTCATATGGGATGAAATGTTATCTTCAAGATGGGGCAGACTGGACCTGTACACAACTTCCTTGACTGGCAGATTTTGTTCAGGGGGTTCACGAAGTTCCAGATTTTGAAGCATCTCAGTATCGAGCATCTTCAGGCATGCTGTCAATATAACACCGAATTCATCAGGAAGCACATGTCATAATGATTTACACTGATATTTGATCTAAGGAATAATCACACTGTTACTCTAGAAGTCGAAAAGATAGAAAAAGAAACAAAATAGCATAGTATACCAGAAGAAGTCAAAAGAATCAATATCAAAGATGGGCTAGAACCTTACATGTGCTAAACAAAAGAGAGTTAGTAGCTAACATTTCCTATTACTCAGTACATGGATAACTTTCACAAGAGTAATTTAGCACATCAGAATAAGCCACATATAACACGCTGTACAATTGCATTAAGGCTGAAGGATAAATCGGCACCTCACTTTGAGTTTGAATAACCTTAAGTCCCTAACATTCATACAAACGATTTTGGGCAACTTGCATTATTGAACGCCCATACCAGCCGCTAAAATAGATCCTCTGAGTAGCATTGAAAGTAAGCAGTAAACAGGGGAAACTACAATCAACAGATCAGATTGCATCATACAGATCAGAAAATAAATAGATCGCTCAATAATAGGGATATAAACCTACAGCACAGCTAAGCAGGTCACTGGGTCAGCTCATATACTGCGGTATCACCTCCATCACCACAATACAGACTAACTGAACAAGTCATTATAATATAGCCAGACCTACAGATCGCCAAATTAAAATAACAAATAACAGGATTAAACTAAGACGCAGTTCTATCCACGCCAATTTAGGGTTTAGCTATCAGGGGCGAGCTTACACTTCCGGGCGCGGTCGACGCGGCTGAGGTTGCCGGCGGCCTGCGTCGGAGGCGGCGGCGGGGGCGAGGAGGACGAGTAGAACGGGGAGAGGCGGTAGTACTCATAGGCGAATAGGGAGACGGCGAGGGCGGCGAGGAGGAGCGGGCCGCCCAGCCGCGCGGCGCGGCGGAGGAAGCGGCGGTGGGCCGAGACCGGGTGGCGGTTGCGCTTGCGGCGCACGCGGACGCGCACCTTCCCGGAGGCCTCGTCGTCGTCGGAGACCGAGATGGAGATGCCTTGGATCAGCGACGACGAGGACGACATGGGTGGACGGACGGAGCTGGGGACGACGAGGAGAGAGGGTTCGGCTTCCGTGGTGGGCTCGGTTAGGCCGCGCGTGCCGGAATCGTGATGGGCCTCGTTCGGCTCGGTCGGTGTGTGGTGGACTGCTCTGTTTCTCTCTGCAGTCCCTGTCCCGCTCCAGCAGAATTGCCACACCAGTCAACATCTATTTCTACTTTTTTGATTGAAATCAAAACCACAATTCAATTAAATGAGAGAAATTTCGATTTTAACATTTGAAGTTCTGCAGTCCAACCAGATACGAAGAGGCGACATATTTGTTCACATTTCAAATCTCCATCAGAAAAACAGAGTATCACTCTACAAATTGCCACGGGAACATGTACATTATGTTGATAGCTTTTCGAATGACCTCATATACGCTCCGAAAATACCAGGTCCCCACCTACACAAGCAAATTGTTGATAAAACTCCAAAATAGCTTTTTCTTTTGACTCAATCCTCTTCTTCTCTTTAGCATTCGGGAAAGACAAGAAAATTTCAGGGTAGAACATTATCTAGAATTTCTCTTAGATTCGAACCCATAGCTGATGATAGAACTAGAATAGATATCTTTTGTTTTCTACTCACGCGAGCCCATATCCTTTCTTTTT